AAAGAGTGCAAGTCTCAGTGACTTAAACAGGAATCGGATTGATATTGAAACTTACAAAGGCAGATGGCTGAACAACTGTAGCTCTTACCAAGCAGCTTAATTGAGCTAAGCAGCAGTGGACTTAACCAGGGGAGCTCACCAAGCGGCTTCAAAATCAATTAGCCAGTTATTGGGGTAACCAGTTTTATGAATGAATGTGGTTCATTCAAAAATGAATGTGGTTTCATTCATAAAACTTTACTTATGAAGTTACATTGATATAAAATGAATGTGGTTTCATTCATAAAACTTTATTTATGAAGTTACATTGATAAAGTGAACAATTAAAAACAATTTCATTGATCACTTCTACACAGGTGACCGGGGTGACGTGCCCGGAGGCAGCAGGAGAGATGGGGCAGGTTCCCCTTGGAGGGGGCTCTCGGGCACAGAAGCCCCCAGGGCAGGGCAGGGCTCACCTTAACCTTCTGGGCCCAGGGATTGAGGCGTTTCCACAGCAGCCACCAGCCTGAGAGGCTGTCCCCATAGTCGCAGAGGTCAGTCTCGTCCTGGCTGCCCACGTCGATGGCGACCACTGATTTGGGGCCCAGGTTCTGGGCAATGTCCACTAGTGTCAGAGTGAGCGCGTCAGGGGCAGCGGCCCAGCAGAAAGTGGCATTGCCGGCTCCCCATGCTCCTGCCTGCTGCCATTAGGGCAGCTCCCCACCCCAGGCCCCAACCCTCAAACACAGCTGGGAAGCAGGGCAGAACCCCAGTAGGAGGTGGGGAGCAAAGCCAGGTTTGCAGCAACCACTTTTCTCCCCTCCTCCCCATTTGCGTGGGAGGCATGAGCAGCGTGAGAGCGGGTGGAGTAGGTGGGGGTGGCTCCGCTGCACCAGGAAGTCCAGGGACCCCTTCCCACTAGCACTGCCCAGCTGGCCAGGTGGGGAGCTTCCCAGTGCAGGCTCCAGCATGGCCAGATCTTCCCCATCCCCCCTCTGACTTTCTCTGTGTGAAGTGCAGGTCCAGCTCACCCAGCCTGCCCCTGCTGGCTCTGTTCTGCCTGGGAGCTCCCCCTCCATGGCACATTCAGAGGGCAGTAGGAACCAGCAAGTCGTCCCATGCAAGGACCCCTGGCCAGACAGGCTGCAGCAGGACTCAGAGCTTCGACAGCGACAGCCCATCGCAGTGCTGTTGAGGGCCCAGTGCAGCTCCAGAGGCAGAGCACAGCTGCTGGAGCAGTGTGTAAATGGCTGTCTGTCAAAGACCTGCCGAAAGCTTTACCCAAGTCTGTGACTGCCAATGGGTGCAGTCACTTCTGTTAGACTGCATGGAAGGAGCAATGAAGCCCCTTTATGTAGTGTGGTAACTAAACAGAAGCCATTGCCCAAGGCCCTGGGTGGGCCACATGGCAAGGCCAACCATACGCTGAACTGTGTGGGCTGAAGGCTTCCCTGTAAGTTTTTGTAATATTTTTTGGAAAGTGTGTGACTCAGTTACCCTATTGTGTAATGCCACCCCCTGGGTATGAAGGGGTTCATCACTCCTCAGGGATGGGGAGATGAGAGATGGGGTGTGGGTGTTATGCAGGCAGGTCTGGGGTGGTTTGAATGAACTATCAAGAACTGTCCCCACATGGACAAAGTTGCCTCGGAGACACAATGACTGGACAGTGACTGTTACAGACTGGGAGCTGAGGGGCGCACAGCAGGATAGCAGCTGAGACAAAGAGAACGGGTGTATGTGAGTGGAGGGTTTTAAGATGGCTGCTGCCAGGGCCGGCTCTAGGCACCAGCCCTCCAAGCATGTGCTTGGGGCAGCACTTTCTAAGGGGCAGCACTCCAGCCCCCCTTTTTTTATTTTATTTTTTTGCTTGGGGCGGCATTGCTGGAAGCTGGCCTTGGCCCAGCCACTCGCCCTGTCAGCGCAAGCCGGGATCTGCGCCCCCTGCCCAGCCCGGCGGCGCCCTGCATAGCCCACTCGGGAAACGCCACGCCGCCCTGGGGAGACTCGGCATGGCAGCAGCAGCAGGACCCCATCTCCCACCCTGCATCCCAACCCCCCACAGCTCCTCACACACTCCGGGAGTCTCTCTCGCCGCCACTGCAGTCCGGGCTCAGGGCTGCAGCAGCAGCAAGAGGGGCTCCCAGAGTGTGTGAGGAGTGGGGAGGGAGGGAAGTGGAGTCCCCTGGAGCCAAGCCTGGGCTGCGGCGGCGGCGAGAGGGGCACTCAGAGTCAGGGCTGCCCGGGGGGCAGGGAGAGTGGGGCAATTTGACCCGGACCCCGCAGGGGCCCCACGAGTATGTCCAAGGCTCCCCCCGCCTCCATCTTCCCCCATCCCTTGGCCTCTCAGCCGGTAAGGGGGCAGGGCTGCAAGCTGCGGCCGAGTGGCAGGAACTCAGGCCCTGCTGGAGACACCATGCAGCTGCTGCACTGTCCGGGAGAGGGGGTAAGCGGCATGGTAAGGGGAAGGGGACGGACACCCCCCGACCCCATCCCCCACAGCCCTGACCCCCAGCTCCGAGCCCAGCCCCTGTGAACTAGGTACCCCCCCGACCCCATCTCCCCACAGCCCTGACCCCCAGCTCCGAGCCCAGCCCCTGTGAACTAGGTACCCCCCCGACCCCATCTCCCCACAGCCCTGAC